GTAGGAGATCCTGCATTAAGTGGGAGAACAAGGTGGAACAAAACTCAAAACCATTGGGGGAAAAAAAAAAGGACTAGGTTTGCTGGTCTGATAGAGCCTGATGAACCACTGAGACTATGGCCCCTAGATGCCCTTTAAGTCTGGAATTGAATCCACTCCTGTGGCTTCCAGTCAAATAAAAGACAGGCATATGAGCTGAACATTTACAATAGGTAGATACACTCCTTGGAGAGATCAATCATGGGAGAATAGACGGGCTGTGTATGCACAGGGAGACAGCTTTGGGGGCAGGAGTGCATGGGAGGGAAGGACACAGGGAAGAGGTAACTGTGGGGAGGAAGTGGGAGGGGAGCTGTTGCATCTTGATAAATTGTAGTCAATGTCATGAGACAAAGTGAGCTGCTGCAGGGAAAGTGAATTTGCTCTGTAAATTTTCACCCAAATCACAATAAAAAAAAAAAAGCATGAACTTAATATATACATATTAATTTATTTATTTAAAAAACAAACAAACAAACAAAAAAAAACCACACTCATATAGCCCCATTGACATAACAAAGAAAACTATGTTCCCAAAGCAGGTTACATCCACAGGTATGGGAGCAGCACTCCAACAAATATTTTGGGGGAACACAATCCAATCCATAACACCTGGGTACTCTGGGCTGCTCATACCAGTAAACATGGGGAGTCCCACCCCAGCAGGACCACCTGACCCATAGCATCCCAAGGGCCAGGGCTGCTGCTACACACTAGGGACAGGGAGGAATATGTTTGGTATTTCATGGTGTTTCCTTCCACAATTGTCAGTGTAAGTGGGCAATTAAGTACAGTCACCATGGCCAGAAAGATAGTTACCTGTGTTTTATTGACTATGCAAAGGCATCCAACTGTGGGGATAACAAATTATGGATAACGTTGCCAAGAATGGGAATTCCAGAACACTTAATTGTGCTCATGAGGAACCTGTACACAGACTAAGGGGCTTTTGCTCCAATAAAAAAGGGAAAACTGAGTGGTTTAAAATCAGGAAGGTTGTATATCAAGGTTGCATCCTTTCGCCTCTATTATTCAATCTGCATGCTGAGCAAAGAATCTGAGAAAATGGACTGTATGAAGAAAAATGTAGCATCAGGATTGGAGGAAGACTCGTGAACAACTTGTGATATGCAGAGGACACAGCCTTGTTTGCTGAAAGTGAAGATGACTTGAAGCACTTACTGATGAAGATCAAAGACTACAGTCTTCAGTATGGATTATACCTCAGCATAAAGATAATGAAAATCCTCACAACTGGACCAATAAGCAACATCATGATAAACAAAGAGAAGACTGAAATTGTCAAGGATTTCATTTTACTTGGATCCACAATCAATGTCCATGGAAGCAGCAGTCAAGAAATCAAAGGACGTATTGCTCTAGGAAGATCTGCAGCTGAAGAACTCTTTAAAGTGCTAAAAAGCATAGATATCTCTTTGAAGACTAAGGTGCACCTGACCCAAACCATGGTATTGTCAATCGCTTCATACGCACGTGAAAGCTGGACAATGAATAAGGATGGCCAAAGAAGAATTGATGCATTTTAATTATGGTGTGGATGAAGGATATGGACTATTCCATGGGCTGTCTGAAGAACAAACAAATCTGTCTTGAAAGAAGTACAACCAGGATGCTCTTTAGAAGTGAGGACGGTGAGATTTCATCTCACATTCTCTAGACATTGTTTTGGTTCTCTTGTGATGCTGTAACAGAAATACCACAGATGGGTGGCTTTAACAAACAGGAGTTTATTCTCTTACAGTTTGGGAGGCTAGAAGTCTGAGTTCAGAGTGCCAGCTCTAGAGGCTGGGTGAAAGCCCCTCAACCTTGGGCTCCAGCTCTGCCTCTTGCTCCTGGCCCACTGAAGCTGGAGGCTTCTCTTCATTCAGGCAGCTGCTGGCTGCTGAGGCTGACAAACCCAAGATCGACAAATAAAATGACACAGTCCCAAGATTACCAAACAGCATGGCAGGCCAGTAGTTCAAGTCCAAAGACAGTCCCAAGATCAGCAGACAACATGGAAGGCTGCTGAATGAAGACTGGGCTACATGCAGGGTATAAGCATGCCAGAAAGCTCAGAGACCTTTCTCAAAGCTGTTTCCTTGAGAGATCCAAGGGATCTACCGACTCAGGACCATGGTATTGGGAGACACCAAACTCAACTGGCACAACAAAATACATAAAGTCTTGTTCCTCATCCTACATTGGTGAGTAGTGACTGGGGTCTTAAAAGCTTCCAAGTGGCCATCTAAGATGCAGCTAATGGTCTCCTATCGTCAGAAGCAAAGAAGGGTTCAAACTAACAAGGGCATTTGGAAGCAATCAGCCCTAGGACACAAGGGCCCTCAAGACCAGAAGAACTAGATGGTGCCCGGCCACCAATGCCAATTACGCAAGAAATAATCAAATCTGGAGATCCTGGATAGAGTGGGGGGAAAAAACGTGGAACAAAATCCAAAAACTCAGTAATGATCAGAATTACTGGTCAGATGGAGTCTGGTGAGACCCCCCAGTACTATGGTCCTGGGATACATTCTGGGCCTGGAATAAAGCTCACTCACAGGGGCTGGCTCTCAGCCCAATAGGAAACAAGATGTACCCGCAGACCACTCAACCCAGGGTGACGCACCCACATACTCTATGGAAATGCATCCCTTGGAGCAATCAATCTTGGGGCACCAGAGTGGCAACATTCACACAGAGGAAATGCAGGACAAACAGGAGTGCATAACTATGAGGAGCACAGGGGGAGGGTTACTGGGCAGGGAGGGGCAGGAGCCTGGGTTAGGGTTGGGCATGGTAAATGGGGAGTGAAACTAAATGTACACGTGATGTTGAACATAAAACAAACTCTTAAAATAAAAAATTAATAAATTAATAAAATTAAAAAAAAAAACTAAAAAAAAAAAAGAAACCAAATGTACATGAAATGTTGAATGTGAAACAAATTCTACTCTGTAAATTTCCATCTAAAGCACAATTTTAAAAAAAAATCGTAAAAAAAGAAGCTGTCTCCTTATCTACGGGAAGCAGACCACACCCCTAAGGCAGCTGCTCAGCAGGTAGATTCCACCATGGAGGTGATGACCAGGCTCATCACGGGGACTCACTCCATCCAGCTGCCCAGCCACTCGCCAGGCCCAGCCACGTTGACACACAACTTAATTAACCACAGACATGTTACCAGGAGGGAGCAGTCCCTGGAGAGGGATATCATGCTTGATAAAGTAGAGGGTCAGTGAAAAAGAGGAAGATCTGCCATAAGATGGATTAACACAACGGCTGCAACAATGGGCTCAAACATAGCAACAGTTGTGAGGATGGGGCAGGACAAGGCAGTGTTGCGTCCTGCTGTACGTAGGGTCACTGTGAGTTGGAACCAACTCAACAGCACCCAACAACAACCACAGCAACACAGCCTGGTAAGGGGCCCAGAGCCCTCAGGATGGAGCCTTTGGGCCGGCCCATTAGGAAAGCCACCTGGAACCTCAGGAGAGCTAGTGGGAGAACGTGAAGATGGAAGAGGAAGAGGAGGAGGAGGGAGATTCTAAGTTACAGCCCTCGAGCTACAGAAAGAAGACTGGGCAATCTACTTCTGTAAAGATTTACTGCCTTGGAAACCCAAAGGTGGTCACCATGAGTTGGAATCTACTCAATGGCAGTGAGTTGAGTTTGGTTTGGAACCTTCCATGTGTCCGTTTTCCCAGAAACCATCTCAGAAGCTGGTCTGGATGGACCAGTGATGGGTAAGTATGGAGGTGAGCAAGGTGGGGGGGCCGGGACCATGTTGCTGGCCCACTAAGAGCCCCTTTCCTGGTGAATGCCCATCGGTGTCTGCTGATGACTGGCAGCAGACCCCCCTTGCCACTCTGATGGAGCCACCTCTCGGGGGAGGCTCTGCACCAACCTTGGCTGACATCGGCACTGACCCACCCTCACCCCAGGGGGCCCTAGACTCCTTTGGGTTAGTGGAGAGCCAGCTGCCCCCTCAGCACACTCCCCGACCCCTAGAGTGCTCCTCAGGGAGGCCTGGAGTAAGAATCCCTTTCTCAGGTCAATTCCAGGGAGGGAAATAAGAGAGGTGAGTGAGTGTAACTTACTGCGGTCACAAGTGGACAAGTCTATACTCTCCCCTTCAATGCAGTGGCCTTAGGGCTGGAGGATGGTGTGGGAGAAGAGAAACTTCACTGTTGACTGAGTGGACCTTGGACCAGGCCTTGTGACCACTGGAGTGCCTGCTGTTTCAATGAAGACCCTTCTTATGTTCCTCCTGAGGTTTTAACTAAAGGTGGTAAAGGCTTTGTATCCAGACCATGGTTTCCTGTCAGCACCCTGGACTTGATCTTTGTCCCAACCCATTTCTATTCTTCTTCTTCTTTTTCAAAATTGTGATTTGGGTGAAAGTTTACAGAGCCAATTCATTTTCCATACAACAGTTCACACATATACTTTGTTTCATGACATTGATTGCAATCCCACTTCCTCCCTGTGGCTACCTGTCCCAATCCATTTCTTAATTAAAGAATCACTTGCCTATGGAATGAGTGGCTGATTGCCTCCATGAACAACTGCCTCCTTTGACACGAGACCAGAAGAACCACATGGTGCCCAGCTACAATCACTGCATATTTTGATCTAAGAATCCATAGAAGAATCTTGATCAAAAGGGGGGAAATGCAGAATTTCAAATGCTCATAGACTCTACATTTTCTGGAGTTGTTGGGGCTGGGTGAACTGTTGAAACCATTGCCCTGAGATAATCTTTAAACCTTAAACCAAAAATAACCCCTGACGTCATCTATAACTGAACAACACTTTAGCTTAACCAGTTAAAAAGGTCTGCTTTAAGTATCAGGCTCTTTATAAAAACTATCTGTATGGGATCGAATTGACAAAACAACTCCAAAGATTAGATAGGAACTTTAGGGGCAGGGAGTTTATGTTAAATGATGGAGGAACAACCCAGAAAATGAAGGTGAAAATGGTTGCACAACTCAAGGAATGTCATCTGTGTCACTAAATGGTACATGAAAGAAGTGTTGAATTGGTGTATGTTTTGCTGTGTATGTTCTCAACAAAAATAAATAAATAGAATTTAAAGAATCAAAAAAAGAAAAAAGAAAGAAAAGAAAAGTGAGAGAGAGAACTGTTTGCCACCTGGAGAGGCTGGGAATGAGAAATGATGTTTCTTTCAAACCCAGAAAGCCCCGGCTCCTTTCTATGATTACTTTAATGTGAAGTAAAATGCTCTGAGGGGTACAAATGGTTTGTGCTTGACTGCTAACCTAAAAGTTGTTGGTTTCAATCCACGCAGCA